TGTTGAAATTGTTGTTTTAAATGTTGACGATATGTTAAATGTTGTTGAGAAGTCGATCGGTTACGTGTAACTATTATTATTATCACCAAAGCTGATATAACGTTAATAACAAGTGGAACAATAAAATGAAAGATAGTAAAAGATGAATTGAGCCACTTGAACAGTGAGAATTTTTGATATGTAACAATACACCATTGGCGTTCATCATCATTAATAATCGAACGATGGAATGGGTCATAAACGGACGTTAGAATATTGAATAAAATAACAAATATTATGACAAATTTCGCGACAAATTTACTCTTCGGCTTGCTAAACGATGCACCTAGAATAGAAAAAAACTTTTTTCGATATGACATTACCATTGATAAGTCACTGTTCTTTTCAACTTGTGACCTGAACGAACATGTGATAAGGATGACGTTTTTTGCCATCTACTATTTTTAAGCAATAAAATTACAGATTGCTCAAATAAAACTTTGATAGATTGAATCCACACATCATTTCAGCACTATCTCATGCGAGGACTGACTATGGAGTTAACCAATGAGAGTAACTGATGCATGTGGAAGATTGACAGAATATATTTTCTTAGAAGTCAAGATTTTATGATGTAGAAGTTAAAAAATGATGAGCTGCATTTTAAACGTCTGACAACAGTTCAATAGGATGTGTGATAAAAATGAAGCCTGACATTCAGAATACCCCATCTCACACAGTCGTGGAATAAACTAACAGCTCATACTTAATAAAACTATGAAAGCCCGTTCAACAGCAACGCATGCATTAAACCAATCAGCAGTCGATGGTAAAAACTTGAATAAAAATTCAATAACATAACAATTAATTTGTAAGAATTTTAAATTTGTTATAACTGCCATTTGTGTTAATAAAAGAAACCAGAATTTTATTGTAAATATGATTATTGAAATAAGTGATATCACTGATGATGATAGAAGATAAAAACCACATCCAATTTCTTTTGAATTTTTCTGACAGAATGTCATTATCGATAAGAGATTAAGAATAATACCAAATGCAAACGTAATTATTGTTAATGAAATACTTAGTTTAACAATTAACGGCTGTTTTGATATTAATACTGATGGTTGAATATGGTAACCGATTATTGTATCTAAGGATAAAACATAATCAGATGTTGTGAATTGACATCATGAACCATAAAAACATGGTTTACAATTACACATTGATTCATGTGGACACATTGCTGCGTCTTGAAAACAATCTCCTTGATCTAAACAATAGTTATAACCTTGACAGTTGTATATCATAGCATGGTCAAAATCAAAACGTTCAGTTTGATGATTTTTTGTACATAAACACATTTGTCTTTCATCATAAAAACAACTAAATTTATTATTGACGTGGCATGGTTGATGGTAATGTTTAACACGTTTGAGCCAATCATATGATAATACTGTTGAGTTAAATACTTCTTTAACAGATGGACAACGATTGTCTGATATCACTTGTGTTGAAATATTCTTGTAATCATGTTCATAATTCAATGCAATCAAATAATATTGTTGTTCAAATTCTACATAGGCAATATGATATAGAACTGTATGATAAATTATAAAATTATTTTGATATAAATTTGTTATTTTTTTAAATAATGTTGTCCTTTCTGGTTGTTTATCAACATATGATTGAATAAAATGTATTAGTAATGATGATGGTATTTCAGTATGAATATTAGAAAATGATATTTCAATTTTAGATTTAATCTTGTCACAATATGTACCATAATATTCATGTTTACATAAACATTTATACTGATTCAGTTTATATTTTGTATTTATTGTTAGACACGTTCCACCATTTTGGCATGTATCTGATTTACAATTGTTTGGAATATAACATAATGGACCAACTTTATTTAATGAACATATACATATTGATTGATTATTATTGTAATTAGTACCTAGACAAAGTGAATCTGACGAGCATTGACATTTATACTGTACTTGACATAATCGACCAGACCATCCTTGTTCACATCGACAATAATATTTGTTAGGATAATTTAAATATTGATAACATTGACCATGTTGGCCACATTTTATAGGGCATCGGTGTAAAACTGCTGAATTTGTTTCTGAAACAACTAAATCAATAGCCAATCGCTGTACAGGTAGGAAAAAAAGTCAATTAAATAAAACCAGCTTGTTCGATATCAATTTTACTCGTTAATATTCGGATGGTATATGCATCAATACGAACAAAATATTCATTATTAATTAGTTTCGCACTGAATTGATCATAGACAAAAGAAAATGAACGATCAAGGTAACATTCATAACTTATTTCGTTATATGCAATAACATTATCATTATTATCGATTACACAATATCCGATTCTAAAGCACTTTGTTTTGTTGTTCGAATTGTCAATGACAAACGTTTTGATTGATATTGACATTGTTCACCATAGTATTGTGGTGGACATAAACACTTTTGTTCTTTATCGGAATGATAAATCAATATGCCATTATTACAATACCACGATAAACGTAATCCATCATTAATTCGATTTTTTATTTGCTTTCCAGTTGTTGATATTTTTTGGTGTAGTTGTTTCGAACTTAACCTACTAACACTTCCTGTTGGATATTCATAAAAATGTTCAATATTAAAGTATTTCTTTTCAATCAATTCGATTGGGTCTTTTAAATCACATAAAATTTCATCTTCACCGAATAAACAATTTCGATAGCCATCACATTGTTGTCTTTTACTAATAGATGTAAGGTGCACGCAAAGCAAAATTCGAGCAAAAAAATTTTTTTTCGATGTTTC